ATAATAGATAAAATTATTTTTCTTTTTAATTTATGTTTTTCAATTTTGTTTTTTTGGATCATAAAACTTCAGAAATTTTAAGGCCCCTAAGTTTTTTTAAGACTTTTTTATTAACATTTATCGATAAAGTCGGGTGCGCAGTATATTTCTACCCTGATATTTCGAAATCACTACCTTACTTTTTAATAATTTATAGTTCATGGTTAGAGCGTCATCGTTTTATCATCTTCAAACATAAATTACTTTTAATTCCTAAAAGAATTATGTATATAGTTTTAAAAAACTATTTTCATATGTTAATAATAAGATAAATTATCTTCAAAAGTGTACATGTAACTAACATAATTAGATCCATTTCAAAACAGCGTGTGTTTAAAATGTATTTAAAGTGGTTTTAAAAGGGTCTTCACAGCAGCTTTAAAATCAGTTATTCAAGATAATATAGTTTTATGGTGTTTTTTTTTTTGTTTTATTGACCTCTTTTAGAATAGGCCCTTTTATGCTGAAGACGTATCTATTACAACCATAAGGCTCCTTTTAAAACTAATTGGTTTTAATTGCAGTTTTAAAGCATCCTTAAAGTTCTGAATAAAACCGTTCGGTGCTACTTGGGAAGTTTTAAAGCCATATTATTCAGATGGTTAAAACATCTATATAATATTTGTCATTTATTAAGATAAATATTTATTAATGATGAAAATTCTTCCACTAACTCAATTTTTCCATGATCCACCCCATAAATTAGTGTAATACGTCAAGACAGGCAGGCAGTGTTCAGTAGAACGCATAGAATTGCAGGAAATTTAGAGACATGCGATTAAATTTCCAAAGTGACACGCCAACGCTTGTCGTCGCGACGCCCTAAACTCGCGTTAGATCGCGGTTCGAGACGAATCACCGGGATCCTTCACGTGGTTAGCACCCGTTCAATGCTATTTTGTATGCAGAATGTCTAAATTATTTATTGCACAGCTTGACGGAGCACAAATGGAATAACAACTACCTTTTACATGGATGCCTGCGAAATAAAATCCAATTTCTGGTAGAAAATTTGACGCCACAGACATGTGCAGACGGTTTTGAAAGTATTGATTGAAAATTGATAAAAATGTATATTTCTGTAAATTATATTTATAATATCATTCATCTTATTTTAAAATAAGCAGTTTTGTAGAGAATTACCTTAGTAAATTAGCTTATTTAAAACTATTTTTGAATTACAAAGCTTTTACAAAAAAATTCTAAGATTTTTCAATCCTTGCGACAGTCTTAGACATTTGAAAAGATGATAGCTTATTTTTCAATTTTCTACATGTTTTTTTTGTAATATTTATATAAAGAAAATAACTGCTGTCATATCACGCTAATTTCGATCAATCAATTTGGCTGAATTTTCTTATTAATAATTGTTTTAAGAGTTAAAAAGTAAACAATAAGAACGACAATTAAATGATTTGAATAATGAAATGAAAAAAAGGCTTTGTCAACAAGAAAGAATTATGTTTCTTTTAAACGCAAATTTGGCAAATGTCCAAAAAAGAAACAAAATAAAGTCGAGGAAGAGTATTGCAGTAAAATAGATTATCCCTCTACGAAACACAAATATTTTAACAAATAATAAAAGTACTGTTGCAAAAATACTGGAATTATGTAATTATATTTAACTGTTTGTACAAAAAAATGGTTTAAACAGATAGCACATAAATAGCACACAAATAGACAAAACAGGGGATCTTTAAAATCTGTTCTCATCCAAGGTTCCTTGTGTAAGTTCCTGCAAAATTCAAGGAGCCGATTCCGGTGTGGAAAGGTTACATGTTAGTAAAGTGAAGGGTTATGCGAAAAATTAAATAATGTTGAATTTTCTTTAAGAAACCTTCCCAAATGAGAACGTTAAGTGTTTTAAGTTAAATACAAAGGGCAATACTAGTTTATTTTAAATCGGTGTACGGCAGGAAAGCAAAGATAAAATATTGAAAAGTAAAATGTGTCCCCGTCGTTGTATATTACTGCAGAAGTCTACATAATAAAGTAGATTAACTTAAAAAACTGATCGTATCACTAAATTACCCCGATATTTTTTGTATTAGTAAAGCTTGGTGTAAAAGGATTTGAACTGATATATATTTTCATTGATCTATATAAAATAACTGATTTTTTTTGTCGACAAGATAAGCAAGGTGGGGGTGTATTTAACATGGACGGATAGAGGATCGTGAATGACGATTATTTTCGATTATTTTTGATTATTTTCGATTATTTTCGATTATTTTCGATTATTTTCGATTATTTTCGATTATTTTCGATTATTTTCGATTATTTTCGATTATTTTCGATTATTTTCGATTATTTTCGATTATTTTCGATTATTTTCGATTATTTTCGATTATTTTCGATTATTTTCGATTATTTTCGATTATTTTCGATTATTTTTGATTATTTTTAATTATTTTCGATTATTTTTGATTATTTTTGATTATTTTTGATTATTTTTGATTATTTTTGATTATTTTTGATTATTTTTGATTATTTTTGATTATTTTTGATTATTTTTGATTATTTTTGATTATTTTTGATTATTTTTGATTATTTTTGATTAATTTTGATTATTTTTTGATTATATTTTGATTATTTTTTGATTATTTTTTATTATTTTCGATTATTTTCGATAATTTTTAATTATTTTCGATTATTTTAAATTATTGTAGATTATTTTCGATTATTTTTGATTATTTTCGATTATTTTCGATTATTTTTGATTATTTTCGATTATTTTCGATTATTTTCGATTATTTTTGATTATTTTCGATTATTTTCGATTATTTTCGATTATTTTCTATTATTTTCGATTATTTTCGATTATTTTCGATTATTTTTGATTATTTTCGATTATTTTCGATTATTTTCGATTATTTTCGATTATTTTCGATTATTTTCGATTATTTTCGATTATTTTCGATTATTTTCGATTATTTTCGATTATTTTAGATTATTTTCGATTATTTTCGATTATTTTTGATTATTTTTGATTATTTTCGATTATTTTCGATTATTTTCGATTATTTTCGATTATTTTCGATTATTTTCGATTATTTTCGATTATTTTCGATTATTTTCGATTATTTTCGATTATTTTCGATTATTTTCGATTATTTTCGATTATTTTCGATTATTTTCGATTATTTTCGATTATTTTCGATTATTTACGATTATTTTCGATTATTTTTGATTATTTTCGATTACTTTCGATTATTTTCGATTATTTTCGATTATTTTTGATAATTTTCGATAATTTTCGATTATTTTATATTATTTTCGATTATTTTTGATTATTTTCGATGATTTTCGATGATTTTCGATGATTTTAGATTATTTTCAATTATTTTCAATTATTTTTAATTATTTTCAATTATTTTCAATTATTTTCAATTATTTTCAATTATTTTCAATTATTTTCAATTATTTTCAATTATTTTCAATTATTTTCAATTATTTTCAATTATTTTCAATTATTTTCAATTATTTTCAATTATTTTCAATTATTTTCAATTATTTTCAATTATTTTCAATTATTTTTTAATTATTTTCAATTATTTTCAATTATTTTCAATTATTTTTAATTATTTTCAATTATTTTCAATTATTTTCAATTATTTTCAATTATTTTCAATTATTTTCAATTATTTTCAATTATTTTCAATTATTTTCAATTATTTTCAATTATTTTCAATTATTTTCAATTATTTTCAATTATTTTTAATTATTTTCAATTATTTTCAATTATTTTCAATTATTTTCAATTATTTTCAATTATTTTCAATTATTTTCAATTATTTTCAATTATTTTCAATTATTTTCAATTATTTTCAATTATTTTCAATTATTTTCACTTATTTTTAATTATTTTTAATTATTTTTAATTATTTTCAATTATTTTCAATTATTTTTAATTATTTTCAATTATTTTCAATTATTTTCAATTATTTTCAATTATTTTCAATTATTTTCAATTATTTTCAATTATTTTCAATTATTTTCAATTATTTTCAATTATTTTCAATTATTTTCAATTATTTTCAATTATTTTCAATTATTTTCAATTATTTTCAATTATTTTCAATTATTTTCAATTATTTTCAATTATTTTTAATTATTTTCAATTATTTTCAATTATTTTCAATTATTTTCAATTATTTTCAATTATTTTCAATTATTTTCAATTATTTTCAATTATTTTCAATTATTTTCAATTATTTCAATTATTTTCAATTATTTTCAATTATTTTCAATTATTTTCAATTATTTTCAATTATTTTCAATTATTTTCAATTATTTTCAATTATTTTCAATTATTTTCAATTATTTTCAATTATTTTCAATTATTTTCAATTATTTTCAATTATTTTCAATTATTTTCAATTATTTTCAATTATTTTCAATTATTTTCAATTATTTTCAATTTTTTTTTAATTATTTTTAATTATTTTCAATTTTTTTCAATTATTTTCAATTATTTTCAATTATTTTCACTTATTTTCAAGTATTTTCAATTATTTTTAATTATTTTCAATTATTTTCAATTATTTTCAATTATTTTCAATTATTTTCAATTATTTTCAATTATTTTCAATTATTTTCAATTATTTTCAATTATTTTTGATTATTTTAAATAATTGATAATCGATCGTTTATTTCGACAATTGTCCTAGTTTGTACACAATTAGAAAATATATTATTTAAAGTATTATAAAATGTATCTAATTCACTGCTACATGAGAAATCTTTGATATTAAACTGTTTTATCCACTATAATATTAATAATGTTATTTACAGGTGCTGTCTCGCTTCGTCTGGTAGATATCCGGATACCAAGCCACGCGGTGCGGAATCAGAGCGCCCGGCTGGAGTGTCATTTCGAAATGGACGGAGAGACGCTCTATTCCGTCAAATGGTATAAAGACGGCAACGAATTCTATCGTTACGTCCCGCGGGATATGCCCCCCGACGCAGACGTTCCCGCTCCCGGGAGTTTCAGTGGACGTAAGTAGTCTTGATCCTCTCTCTTTGTTTATTTATGTAGAAATGTATAAAAGATGATCGATATATAGATAGCGGCAAGTTATGTCTGTTTACGTTTGGTGAAATTTGCTGCGTCAAAAATGTATAGCAATATTGTAAATGTGAATTTATTTTTCCTTAAATTATTGTTCTATATGTTTTTGCAATTAAATTAAATGATACTATTGATAAGATAATCAAATTAAAAGCAAATATTAATAAAATATCTAAATTTTATATATAAAAATAACATGAGTTTTTTAATTTTAATAGCAAAATTATATCAGCGAAAATGTTGTGCTTTAAATTGGCTGAATCTAATCTAATAGATAACTGATATTATATGCAATTTGTCTGAAAATTGCCTTATAAGGTCGAAAGTGCTTGCTTAAATATTTTTTAAGTCTATTAACGATTTGCTGGTTGACAGACTGTGCTTCTCTGATTTCTACTTTATAAATTCATAAAGACCTGATTTATGTAGATATAAAACCCTAATTAATACTGAAGTTTTTGTGTTTCCTTATCTCGTATATTTGTAATAATTTTAAATACATTGACAAAAGGAATTCGACCAACAGAGGAGAATCGCCTAATATTGGATACTTTTTTTTAAACTGTTAAATTATATTAAAATAACATCCCTACATTTGCGCTAGTTTAATGGAGTTATAGCATAACTATATCAGTTAAGATGGTCGGCATAAAAATAAAAAACTATTTCAGGAAGTAATTAAATATTTTTGAAAAATTGCTTATTTTGTCAATTTAGAAAATAGTAAACTAATATTGGATAGGGTATCCAATATTAGGAAACTATTTTTTTATTCAAAAACTATTGATAATTTCAAAACTTTATTGAGGATAATACAAAATAAATAAAAAATTCCACTTAACAGCTTGATAAGGGCAAATTATCCATCCATAGAAAAGCCACAGATGTAACTTTTTTTTGCCTTCAGCACCAGCACATGTTTCATGGAACCATCTGTAACACTATACCCATTTTTCTCCTGCTTTATCTGAAGAAAATTATTCAAAGCAGAAGGGAAAATCCACATCTTCTTCTGAATCCATATCATCTTCCGAATCTGCATATTGGACTTCCTCTTCTGATTCCGAGGAATCCGAGGAAACAACAACTTTTTGCTTTTTCTTTTGAGTATTGTAATTTTTCTTAATTTTTTCAGATGATTTTGATTGAAAGTTTAAATTCTTTTTAAACTTTTCCGTTGTTTTTGGACTTTGTGATTTCTCGAAGACTGTTTTGTAGGGCGAACCACTAACTAAGATGGAAAGCCCACTCACCCGACATGTCGCGTGCGACCTGCCGCATGCGATTTTTTAGATGCGATTTTTAATAGACGACAAGCAGCGATACAGACGTTCAGTATCAAAATAGAGGTGGAAGAAGTAGTAACGGTGTTGTTTTATTTTGTTCGTCGGCGGAAAAAATTGAAACGACGAAGGTACTGAGTTCATCCATTATTTGTAGAACCTTGTGTAAAAGGCGCATTTATTTTATTACATAAGGATTTGCGTCAACACGAAGATAAGTTCTTCAAATATTTCAGAATGAGAGTAGTGTCATTTGATGAACTGTTAGCGCAGATTCCCGAACAAATATTTTATTTCAATTAACTGTTGAGGTCGGTCTTGAATATCGGATATAAATTCATCTATATCAATACAATTGTCGGAAATTTTTTCACTGGAACTGTCGAAAAGTTAACAGGAAACTCCAACTCTCAACTAGCGTTTCGCACGCGACTTGACGTTTGTATGAGTGATGTTCCATATGAATCCAGGATAACGCTGGCCGCGTGCGGCAGGAAAATCGCGGGCTGGTCATTTAGAAACATCTAAAGTATTGCCGCGCGCGATGCCTCGCGATCAGTCGCGAGCGACGTGTCGCATGAGTGGGCTTTCCCTCTAAGGCGGCGGCACCAGAGTTTTTCCGTTTTACTCCTGAAGAACCAGGTAATACTGGCAATGGATGTATGTCAGCTGGTTTTACAAAATTAATTTGCTTTTCTTTATTAGCAATAGGAACCGATGGTTCTGTGTTTGGTTTATTACAAATAATATTTTGTAAATCAATAATTTTTAATTCAGGTTTTTGAGCAATGGGTTCAGATTTTGTCATTGCTTCGATAATATCATTTGTGGGTCCATTTTATAGGTTAATATTTTCAGTATCAACAGCAGTTTCCACTTTTTCATGAATGAAAAAATCATGGTATCGGAAAATATTCATATTAAAAGGCATAATGCCACATTTCCATTGATACAGTTCTTGAATATGCTTTTCCTAACAAACCTGCAATCTGGTATAGTGAAACTGTTCTTCCTGAGTTAGCCTTTTATTCAGTTTTTAAATTCTTGACTATAATACGTTTTAAAAGGTCCCATAAATGCCACATCCAATGGTTGAACCTTGTGTGTCAAATGTAGAGGTAGGCATATCAATATTATGTAATTTTTCGAGCCTTGTTAATCACATTCAAATTTAGCGTGTGTGAATAGTGCCCATTTATTATTAAAATAACAGGATCATCGTGGGATGGCTTGGCATGTATAATAAAATGATCCATTCATTGCGTAAATAAATATGACTGAATCCAGCCAGAAGGATGACATCTTCCAATTGATCCTGGAGGCGCTCCATCCATAAAATTTTTCCATCGGAAAATCATTATTAGGGATATAAAATGTCCATTAGCATTCATGCAGAAATCAACAGTGACCAACGCACCTCGTTCTGATGTTGTCAATGCTCCTACTTGTTTCTTTTCTTTTAGGCTTGTGTTGGACTGAAGTTATCCCCGTTTCGTCATCATTACAAATTTTATTTGGATTAAACTTAATTTTGTCTAATTGTAGTTCCAACATATCAGAATTTAATCAGATTTTCTTAAGTAAATCCTTTGATTCTAGCTGCGGATACTCCTAAGTTCTAAAACGAATATTTTTGTTTCATCTCAAAAAATTCCTTAGCCGTTTTTTCCCAGCGGTAGCTTTTGTTCTTGAAAATGGATGTGGCAAATTATTGTGTATCCTCTGTATACTGATAGAGCCAACTGATAATCCAAACGACGAACGTCGGACGATGTTAAACCATAGAACCTTTTCTCTAGCTCCAGATAATTTATTGCCAACTCTTTTTCGAATACTTCAGGTAGCACTGGCTTACGACCAAGAGTCGATTTTTCCAAATGTTCTAGTACAGTAATACTCCAAGGTATAATCGGAAAAAAAAGGAATACAATAATTTGCTCATTAGTAATAAAAATATCTTTCTGTAAGAGGTTAAAAAATTCAGATAATAAATCAGAGAGCGCATGGGCATTAGTTAATGAAATTAAAGGGTCAAGTGTAAACAAAAATGAAATCAATATTGAAGGAGATATAATGACAATAGCTGACAAATTTAATACATTTTTTGCCAATTCTGCCCCGAATTTATTACCAAATTTAAATGATATTCCTTTTTCTTCTACCATCCAGCCATATGCACAAGAAATGACAATAAAAAATATAAAAAAACAAGAATTACTCAAATGCGTACGAACACTTGAAAACAAACACAGTGCTGGATATGATGAGATCTCCATGAAATTAATTAAAGACATTAACCATCTTTGTCATATTATCAACAATTCCATGAAATTTGGCATTTTTCCCGATAGCCTAAAAGTTTCACTTATAGTCCCTATTTATAAAAAACGTGATGACTCTAAAATGAAAAATTACAGACCAATTAGTATGTTACCCTCTTTCTCCAAGATATTTAAGAAAATCATGTGTAAACAAATCATAAACTTAATGGAAACTACAAAAAATAAATCAACCTTAACTGCACTCTTCCAATTTACAAATAAAATTTGAACCATTATGAAAAATGATAACTTACCACTGGGATTATTTTAAGACCTGTCAAAAGCATATAATACGTTAAATTATGATAATAATAATAATAATGTTTATTCAAAAAGAAATAGTGTTTTACAAGAACAAGATAATGATAATACAATCAGATACAAATAAATAAATATATATAATTTAATTAACAAATTTTTATCGAATAAACATGGACCACCGTACGACTCGCTTATGACCTACACAGGTTGCGCGCGAGTTTTCTTGTTTAATTCCATTATTTAAATTCAATTTTTTTTTTTTTTTTTTTTTTTTTTTTTTTTTTTTTTTTTTTAGATATTATTGTACTTTTTAGTTCTAATTAATTTATGTCTCTTTCAATTAGAGAATGAATAATGGACCTTTCAACATTTAAAATAAATGATTTAATAAATGATTTTAGAAGATCTATTGAATTGATTGATATTAAATATATTTTATACACGTTCGGCAAAAAATTGTAGATTACGGTACTTAAAAAATTTAATGATCTCTGTCCTATGGTCTTGTTTCTTAGAGCAATTTGGGTATTCTCTTCAAGTCTATATCGGGTATTATAATTATGTTTAATTGTTTAAATTATGGATTTATTTTTATAAATATATATAACGACATTGAAAAAGTATGCTTGTCTAACATCCAATAGTGATGTTTCTTTAAATAGAGAATTAGATGGGTAAGTATTATTTTTATTATAAATTATTTTTAAGAATTTCTTTTGTATTACTTTTAATTTTTTCAGATGAGTTTTTGAAGCAGAACCCCATGATAAGATAGCATAGTTGATTCTGGATTCAACAAGTGAATGATACATTATTTTAAGATATGCCGGTTTTAGAATAGTTTTCATGTATTTTAACTTATATAATAAGGGTCTTAAATTATTTGTGATGTTATTTATATGTATGTCCCATTTAAGGTGGGAATCTATAGTTACGCCTAGGTATTTAATGTTATTTTTTAATTTTATTATTTTGGTTCCTGTCTTATTGATTTGCAGCTCGGAAAATTGGGGTAACGTATTTTTATAGCTACAGAATGGAATAAAAAAAGTTTTTTCATAA